CCCCAAAACCCCAAAACCCCAAAACCCCATTACATGCATGGAGAGAAATTGGATTTAAAAGTAATTTAGGATTCTCAAATTAAAATTAGTATCTTTTCGTTATTTCAAAATAGCAGATGTAAGCAAGTGAAAGAAAACTCATTCTTAAGGATATCAAGGATTTCCTAATTTCTCATTTGGGTGAAGGTGGTACTTTCGAAGGTCCAGGAGTGATGGAATTCAATCAACATTCAATCCCAAAAGACAAAGAAGTACCTGAGGATTTCAAAGCCTTAGATTTTGAGGGGCTTTTTGACAGAGAAGAAAACGTTAAGGGATTTTTCTATACTATTGAAAGTCAGAAATATTGGAAATTAAACGGACTTAACAGAGTTGCTGATGAAGACTTTGCAGGTTATGGATTTTCAAAAACAGTAGAGTTACTCGAATTAGATGAGAACAAGAAGATACCAAGAGATGACGAGGGAAAACCAATTCTGAAAAGAAGATTAGATGAGAGAGGAAAACCAATTGAAATACATCAGGAAGGTGGTTATATCATGGCCTATACAGAGAGAAAAACCGATAGGACCTTATTCTAAAAAATGACATCTATTCCGAGAGGTCAAGCTATGGTTGTTAATGGAAACATTAAGGAGAATGAAGAGGATGCCATTAGATTCGCTACCTTCAAGAGCAAACCAGACCAGCAATTCGGAGTTTTGACATCACAAAACTTGAATGAGGACCTTGATATGAGAAATTACATTATTGACTTTAAATTTGATGGTGATAACTTACTTTATGATGAATGGATGAAGTTTGATGATCTAGACGTTAAGAGCGATCAGAGGGCTGGCATCTTCCACAGAAACAGAGCTGATCTCATCAGAATCTAATCAGCTTGAGACTCTGATATTCTCTCCTGCCCACCAATTACTGATTAAGAAATGATTAGCTGATAACTTATATAACATTTTAATGAAATTTTTCAGTAAAGTATTTTAAGTTTTATTTTAAGTTAAGGAATTTAAAGGTATTAAGCCTCTAGCTTGAGGACATATATTTCGTTATTCAAGAAATGATCAATCAGTCATCATGCTTGGCAGAAAATCTTGCGTACTTGATACCTTGAATGGGTAATGGAGTGATGTTAACTGTGTTTCCATTAGCTGTTTGAGTTTTAGGAGCTAGGAAACAAATCTTTTTGCCCTCGAGAGTCAAGTCCTAGATAACCTTGTTAGCTGATTGTAATGCTCCTACTATCCAGCCATGGTGAACGCTCAAGTGCTCACCTGCAAAGTAAAGCAAGTCTTTGTAACCTTAATCTAGGCAATTCAAAGTTTCATACTAACCAGGTCTGAAGAAGGCTAGACCATTTCCTGGGGTGTTTGCCCATGATTGAGAAAAGGAATTTCCTGTATAATAATCTCTTGATCTGAATTTGGAAGGTTCCTTAACCAATTTTTTGAAGACTGTGTCAATATCAGTCAAAACTCTTTGGGTTCTCTCCTCCTCAGTCAAACCAATGAATCTAATACCATCTTGATAAAAGTTGTAGCAGAGTACGGTACCGTGTCTTTGCTCGTTGGAACTATCTTCTCCTTTAGTATCTTTATAGCCATAGCAGGGGAAGACAAGATTTCTACTTGAGAGATTGCTGACTATTTAACCACCAACGAAAGCATAATTTTCTTTCAATAGATTAGTATCTTCCCAGAATCTGTGATTGAACTCTAATGAGTGCTTAAAGAGGGGATCAGCATTAAGATTTCTGAAAGCTTCATAAAACTTTCTGAATTTCTTGAACCCAGTCCAATCAATATTGGCACATGCAGCAGTTGGAAGAGTAACAATTACTCTATCATATAATCTTGTGATTCCGTTAGAAGTTAAAACCTCAATTCTTTCATTGACTGGGTATGAATCACACTCATTTTCACCAGATAGTTCACAACTATGACCAGTCTAGTCAACTTTCTTGCACCTATATGTAACTCTTGTTACTCTTTGGTTAAACCTGACTTTGTTGGTACCTATCACCTTAAACATACCATCCGTTAATTTTTACAAACCACCGCTAATGGTATGCCACTTTGGAATCTTCTTTCTTTCATTGGGATCTAATGGTTCATATTAGGCAGGGCCTCTATCCCAAATTGACAAGTCTGGATGCTCGTAAGGTGTTTCTTGATCAAAATCTTTATCTTCAAAAATTTATTCCACCAAGCTTGTATCTAAGAAGCCCACGAAAGAAAAGAGAGATTCCCAGGCGTAAAGTTTTCTCTTGTAATCATTAATCTTAGCTTAATCACCTCCAAAGTTTTATTAAGCAACAAGGTAGTCAAGAACAGTTTGGTTGTCATATTTATCTAATAAATCTAGAAGTGGTTTAGCAGAGAGTAGTTCCTTAATTTTTTTCCAGACAATTGGAACATTTGCCTCTTCAGTAGTTTGCACAGTCTTTTTAATGGCTCTAACAAACTCTTCTCTGATTTCTTTCATATCTTTTTCATAGGTGTCTCTAATTTCTTTTAAAATTTCAGCTTGTAATTTAAGCGATTCTCCTCCCCTTTTAAATGCGAGATCAGGATCGTCTATTTCTCTTTTTTGCAATACAATTTCAAGATGCTTTGAGTAGTAGAGATTAAAGCTTGCAGCTTCGGGATCATTTAAGTCTTTAGCAGAAGCGTCTCTGCTATCGAAGAAATAATCTCTCATATCAATTAGTGGGTATTTCTCAACAGGAGTAAATCCAACAGTATCTTTGTTGTCATTGTTTATCTTATCTACATGCACGTTGTATTCTTGAATTCTTTCATTTGTGTAGGCGATGAGATCATAAGTTGGCGAGTGCCAGATGGGTAGCCTCATAGCTCCCATGTCTGAGTACTGCCATCTCTCTTCGTTTATTGTTGGGTACTTGTGAGTGAATATTCTTCCACCAGCTCTGTTCTCTCCCTCTAGAATTTCGTATTCAATGTTGTAACCATTCTTGTTGAGAATATCGAATTGCATGGCTGCGTTAAGACCAGCAACTCCCGCACCAAGAATTCCCACCTTAACATGAACTCCTGGAGGAATTTTTTTTTAGTCCTTGTAGTTCTTGATTTTTTGAGCATGCTCCTCAAATTATGTCAGTGATTATAAGCATTTTTAGAATTGTAAAACGAGAGGAATTTCTTCGCTAATGTTATCTGACTCGTACTGTGTACTTGGGCTTGTGCTTTCCATGAGTGTTTCAATTTTATATCAAAGATACAAAGTTAACTTTATCAAAGATATTAAATTCTGTGACTTAATCAATCTCAGGTAAGTTGTCTGAATTATTAGCTGTACCAGAAAATTAACAAATTATATTAATTTGATGAAAAACTTTTATCTTTTCTATACTCTTGGAACTCACGGTAATGAAATAACTGAGATTAATAGCAGTAAACTAATCTAAAACTTGTTCAATCATCGTTTTGATTTTTAATAACTGATTTATCAAGTTAAAACAAAGTTTAGTTTGCTATGATTTGTTTTAATTTATACTCGATGTCAATTTTTCATTGAAAAATGGTAATCTTAAAGTCAAAGTTGCATATTTGAGGAAATTTATTAGGATTCAATTAGAAAGTAAATAGTTGTAGGTGTTTTACTTAATTAATTCTCCTGATTGTTTAGATTTAATTTTTCCATATTGATTGACGATTACTTTAAATAATAATTTAATCTAACTTAACAAAATAAACTCTTAATCGTAAAATAAAAGAAGTGAGCAATAGAAATTAGGAAGAGAGAAATAAATATTAGAAGTATAATCACTTAATTATGCCTTAAGGGATAATAATTTTTTTGCCTTTCGAGAAGACCAACCAAGAATTCATAAATTTAATAATTTGTACATATAGAAATTATCAAAGTAGCAAGGCAAAAAAAATATTAATTGCTTATTTTATTATTTATATTCCAGGGATTGAATAAATACTGATCTATTACTCATTATATATATACTTAATTATTTTTCATCAATGACATAATCTAACTTATTCCTCTTTATGGGGTTTTGGGGTTTTGGGGAGATCGGAAGA